GGATTATAACTTTTTTTTTTAATGGACTTTTTTCTTTGCCAGACTAACTATGTAACAAAAAAAGAATGCATACAAGTTGACAGTTCAATAAAATGGTCACCTGTAGACGATGGTCCCCTCTGCACCATGACCAAGGACCTCACGAGGGCTGAATGAGATCTTCCCCACTGTTACCGTCCCATCATCATCTGCCAGAGAAAACAAACAGTGTAATGTGAAGCCACAAAGTCTACAATATTTGAAGCTATCATACCAGAGTCGGTGCATGAACAGTGTGCTGGACTCTGGAGGGACCATCATAGAGCAGAACACCAGAGACGGTCCATGAATAGTGTGCTGGACTCTGGAGGGACCATCATAGAGCAGAACACCAGAGACGGTCCATAAATAGTGTGCTGGACTCTGGAGGGACCATCATAGAGCAGAACACCAGAGACGGTCCATGAATAGTGTGCTGGACTCTGGAGGGACCATCATAGAGCAGAACACCAGAGTCAGTCCATGAATAGTGTGCTGGACTCTGGAGGGACCATCATAGAGCAGAACACCAGAGTCAGTCCATGAATAGTGTGCTGGACTCTGGAGGGACCATCATAGAGCAGAACACCAGAGACGGTCCATGAATAGTGTGCTGGACTCTGGAGGGACCATCATAGAGCAGAACACCAGAGACGGTCCATGAATAGTGTGCTGGACTCTGGAGGGACCATCATAGAGCAGAACACCAGAGTCAGTCCATGAATAGTGTGCTGGACTCTGGAGGGACCATCATAGAGCAGAACACCAGAGTCAGTCCATGAATAGTGTGCTGGACTCTGGAGGGACCATCATAGAGCAGAACACCAGAGTCAGTCCATGAATAGTGTGCTGGACTCTGGAGGGACCATCATAGAGCAGAACACCAGAGACGGTCCATGAATAGTGTGTGCTGGACTCTGGAGGGACCATCATAGAGCAGAACACCAGAGACGGTCCATGAATAGTGTGCTGGACTCTGGAGGGACCATCATAGAGCAGAACACCAGTTGGTCCAGTAATAGTGTGCCGGACTCTGGAGGGACCATCATAGAGCAGAACACCAGAGCCGGTCTATCACAGAGCAGATCCATGAAGCAGAACTTACCTCCATCCTCCTGCTCTGTGGAGGTGACACTCCCAACCTCCGATACGGACAGATTAGAGTGCAGCGAGTGGTTGGAGGCCTTGGGCGACATGTTGGGAGTACTGTTAGTGGAGCTCTCACTTCGCATGCCAGTCATATCCAGATAATCTCCATCAGTTGTTGCCTCGCCTGGCTGGAAAGGGGTGTTCTGAACCTGTAGAAGTTGGATCTTCTCCTCCAGCTGCTTTTGGAACTGCTGGTGCTGCAACTGCTGCTGCTGCTGGACCGTCTGGGGACACAGACACATGAATGACTGGGGTCAACAATGGCATGGGGGAGTCCTGGGGAACGTCTCACTTACCTTAGGATATGTGATGACAAATGCTACCCACCCCGCCAGGAGGAAAGTGCTGAGGATGATGGTGGCCAGGTCCTTCAGCATCGAGTCCACCGGAGCCTCTGGCCTGGGCAGGAATGGCTTTGATATGTCAGAGATTTCCTGAGAGTAGGATGGCGGCAGCTGCTCTGGGGGGTTATCCACCATTCCCAAGACCTCCTGCCAGGTGACAGAAAACAAGAAGAGAGGGTGAGGGACCCATCTATACTGAAATGCTGGGGGGGGGGGGGTACCTAGCACAGCGAGGTTCAAGAACAATGCTGGGGTTGACTGCTGGTGATGGTGATCTCCAGTACTGAGAAGGAGCCTCAACAGTCACAGGTTCTCTTCATATACAAATCATCTAAGACAGCAGCCACGATACAAGTGGCAGAAGTTTGTGAACCCTTTGGAATGCTGTAATTTTTTACATTGTGGTCTCAGCTTCATCCCAACGCCAACAATAATCACATAAACGTTCTGACTGCTCCTGGATGAATCCTTACCTCTGAACACCCAGGGTCCATCGTCAGATCGCCGTTCCCTGCTAATTGACCAAAATCGGATGTCTTCCCATTCCCCAACACTTAATGAATGGACAAATAAAGTCAAGAATTTGTTTTTTTCAGTGCAGGAACTTAACAGGAAATTTGAGAAAACTATGGGATGTGTGGCTGGTGACACCAGGCTTGGTCCGGCCCTCCCTGGCACTGTGTTAGTTTACTCTGGTAACAGGGAAGGGTGTCACATGGTGTGTGTAGAACCTCAGCTGGGGGCACATAGATACCCCATCAAATGCCAAATATACAGAGCTGATGTTGTGTCTGTGCAGAATAAAACACCACACAGGTTAGATACCATACTCTAATAAACAGGTTATATGGCAGTCTAATCTCTCTAAGAGAAACATGGCCGACATGTTTGTTTACACTGGAGAGGGCGGCTTCTGCTAGGATTCCACTCCTGAGGATTCCACCTGTGTCAGCCCTCTATGTTGTCAGCTGTGACAGAACAAACGTGTAGGATATGTGGAACTGGACTTCGGTTGGTTGTTACGGTAAAAGTGCAAAATCACAATAAAAAAAAAAAAAAAAAAGAAGATCTGATTCGTTGATGTTTGGTGGTCGTGTCCCCCAAAGGGAACCAAGGGAACCACCGGCGTCCCCCAAACAAGGGAACCACCGGCGTCCGCCAAACAAGGGAACCACCGGCGTCCGCCAAACAAGGGAACCACCGGCGTCCGCCAAACAAGGGAACCACCGGCGTCCGCCAAACAAGGGAACCACCGGCGTCCGCCAAACAAGGGAACCACCGGTCGTCCGCCAAACAAGGGAACCACCGGCGTCCGCCAAACAAGGGAACCACTCGCGTCCGCCAAACAAGGGAACCACTCGCGTCCGCCAAACAAGGGAACCACCGGCGTCCCCCAAACAAGGGAACCACCGCGTCCCCCAAACAAGGGAACCACTCGCGTCCGCCAAACAAGGGAACCACTCGCGTCCGCCAAACAAGGGAACCACTCGCGTCCGCCAAACAAGGGAACCACTCGAGTCCGCCAAACAAGGGAACCACTCGAGTCCGCCAAACAAGGGAACCACTCGAGTCCGCCAAACAAGGGAACCACTCGAGTCCGCCAAACAAGGGAACCACTCGAGTCCGCCAAACAAGGGAACCACTCGAGTCCGCCAAACAAGGGAACCACTCGCGTCCGCCAAACAAGGGAACCACTCGCGTCCGCCAAACAAGGGAACCACTCGCGTCCCCAAACAAGGGAACCACACGAGTCATGTCCGCCAAACAAGGGAACCACTCGCATCCGCCAAACAAGGGAACCACTCGCGTCCCCCAAACAAGGGAACCACTCGCGTCCCCCAAACAAGGGAACCACTCGCATCCCCCAAACAAGGGAACCACTCGCGTCCCCCAAACAAGGGAACCACTCATGTCCACCAAACAAGCCACTCATGTCCCCCAAACAAGGGAACCACTCGAGTCCGCCAAACAAGGGAACCACTCGCGTCTACCAAACGAGGAAAAAACTTGTGTATACCAAAAAAAGGAAAAGACTTGTGTCCACCAATCAAAGGGAAGGACCTAAGTGCAGAATGAAAAGACGACACATTAAGAATACCAGTACAGCATGGAAAAGGCTTGTAGAAATACAGTGCAGCTGGGGTGATTCAGACATAACTAACAGGAAGAACTATCATAACCAGGAGGCGAGATGACTTTTCTCTACTTGTCTGATTGTATTTCCTTCAGGCTGAAGAAGAAACAAACATCTTCATCCCAGATGTGAAGCATGGTGGAGGGGGCCTCATGGTGATCACTTTAAAGGGAGACCATGCATTTAGGATGTTATGTCCAGACCTCCATGTGGTCCTGACTCGAAGAGAACTTTTCAGACATACCATAGAAGGAGCACACCACTCCTACAGGAGCCCATTTTTGGGAGATTAAACATTAAAGGGTCTACCTACTTCTCCAGAACAAAGAAACATTCTTAACAATGTTCTCTCAATATCAGAGCTACAGCTGTGTGTTATCCAGTGAGGTGGGGGGTATGGTGACTTGGAGGGAGACTTCAGGAAACCTGTATATGTATACGGACATTGTTTACACCTCCCCTCCTCTCCCAGTACTCACATCATTGAAGCGTGCTTTGTCTCGGGCCGTCTCTATGACGTTCTCCCCTCCCCGGGGCAGGGTGGATGGGAAGGTATCCAGGATTTTGGTTGGGGCAGACAGTGGATTTCATGGTGTCCTGTAAGAATTGAAGTGGATTAGATAGGAGATCAGAGTGATTATCAAAATGTGATGTGCTGGGATGTACATTGCTGCTTAAGCATTGTTCTTTAGGACACACATGACAGCAATGGCCAATGCTCTTCACCTTTGGCAACCAATCAGATAAGTGAAATATGAAGTCTGGTCCCTATATGCCCCATCACACGCCTGTGACTATGACTGAAGGTTCCTCAATGTTCCTCAGGGTGCTCCCAGTACAGTCAGGGCCCCGGCACTGCCGGTCTCACATTATACAAAGATGTGCATAGCATGGGGCAGAGTTCATACCTATTAAAAGCCAATAGTTCCTCCAATAACTCAGCTTGTCTTTCCCTTTCCCTCCGGACACAGTCTTCAGATCGGTGCTGGGGGTGAACTCACACTCTCCATTCTCCTCTATTGTTACCCCATCAGTGGTGGGACCATCAAGCAGTGGGATGGCTCTCCCTCTGGGCTACAGACAAGACACAGATATACAGTCATTCCTGTAGTTCTGATTAGTTACTTTGTAAAGTCACATGATACAAGGACACCCAGAAAGCTGATATGTTGGCTGTCAGAGAGACACTTACCACCACGGTGACCCCGTCATGCACCAAGGAAGACGAGGCGTACAGGCTGCTGGAATACTTGCCCACATACAGAGTCGGCCTGGGGATAAACAGCAGACATGTGACCAGTGAGGCTCCACCCTTTAAGGTGTCCCCTGCGTTTCTGGCATTGGAAGGTTGTCACTCACATCAGTTTACTTTTTGGTCTCAGTTTCTTTGGGAAAGGGATACTTCCACTTTGTGATACGGCCGACCTCCCCGACATGAAGGTGAGATAGCGCAGGGTCTCCACTCCCACATTGGTGTGCAAGACCTTCCTGAGGCCTTCTCTCTGCCAGATATACAGTGCCACTACCGGAGAGGCGTAATTCTGGATCCACAGGACGTCCCCCGAATCGCTGTCCACAGTCACCACCAGACCGTCTCCATTGGACACAAAGTGTGACATTTCTAGAAGAAACTTCCAGATCACAATCCCTTCTATGAAGAACTCCCACCCCACCATCCCAAATCAGACAGACAGCTTCAACCGGAGCTTACTGTAATTGGTACCCTCATCAGGCAGGGTGGCTGCATAGTCGTAGTAGGTGGCGTTCCAGCGCAGCTCCTTATTCTTCGTGTCATACATGGTGATTGTATACTCTGAAATACAAAATTGTCATTCCTCATCAGGACATGGAGGTGACATAGGGTGGACAGGACAAGCTGGAATGTGATTGGCTGCATGGAGGTACCTACAGGGGGTCTGTCATTTATTTCCAGATCAAAGCTACACGTCTCACAGGGAGGGAGTCCATGAAGCAGGACTCAGCTGAGCCATAGAGAAACCCCAAAGTCCAGGTCCTGAGGGTGACCAAATGGAGCAAATCTCCATAGCAGACTACTGAATGCAGCATCATATCAGTGGAGGTCTGCCTTATCCAGAGCCATGACATCATCCATAAATGATGACATCACACCCAGAGATAGAGGGACATCATCCACAAATGATGACATCACACCCAGAGATAAAGGGACATCATCCACAAATGATGACATCACACCCAGAGATAGAGGGACATCATCCACAAATGATGACATCACACCCAGCGACAGAGGGACATCATCCACAAATGAGACATACACCCAGAGATAAAGGGACATCATCCACAAATGATGACATCACACCCAGAGATAGAGGGACATCATCCACAAATGATGACATCACACCCAGAGATAAAGGGACATCATCCACAAATGATGACATCACACCCAGAGATAGAGGGACATCATCCACAAATGATGACATCACACCCAGCGACAGAGGGACATCATCCACGAATGATGACATCACATCCAGAGATAGACATCATCCACAAATGATGACATCACACCCAGAGATAGAGGGACATCATCCACAAATGATGACATCACACCCAGCGACAGAGACATCATCCACGATATGACGGGGGACATCATCCACAAATGATGACATCACACCCAGAGATAGAGGGACATCATCCACACACACCCAGAGATAGCGGGACATCAATGATGACATCACATCCAGAGATGGAGGGACTCACCTGTCCTGCCCAAGTACAGCAGAGTGGTGGATGGACAGACACTTTCTGCGAAGGACGAGGTTAGAGTCTGCTGCTTCTCCCCCGTTATCAGGTCAACCACGTACCATACGTCCTGCTTTCTTTCCCTGGACAGGACACAGAGAACAACCACATTCCATGTATGAGATCCACACCCACTTCATGACATCACACAGGAGACCCAACACTGCATCCAAACTATGGGCCATCCAATCACTGATCACATATCTGTGCTGATTTCATCCCAGTCTTCACCAATCACATCCCTGACTGGTGACTGCTATGCAGGTCATTTACATCCTGCAGTTATATTAGAGGGGGGCAGTCACAGGGGGATGTACAGAGGGTGAGGATACAGGGAAACATCCCGCACCAACCCCACCGCCCCCCATCCCTCCGCCACCACCCCCCACCCCAGTGCTCACCACTCACCCATATACAATATTCCATCCGAGCTACGACACGGAGAGGCCTGGACCAGCTCCGGGATAGTGAAAGGCAGTTTCTGCAAAAGACACAAATGGTACAAGTTGTTACCCCCCTCCCCAGGGTGAGAGACCCTCACACTAGCCTGACACTGTCCCACCTCCTTCACTCTGCATCCCCCAGTGTGATAGCCCCTCACATGACGCTGACACCAATCACCTCCTTCACTCCTCCTCCAATCACCTCCTTCACTCCCCCCCCCCCCCCCCCCCAACCCCCCCCCCCCACCCCCCCTCCAGTGTGATAGCCCCTCACATGACGCTGACACCAATCACCTCCTTCACTCCCCACCCCCGTGTGACAGCCCTTCACATGACTGACACCAACCACCTCCTTCACTCCTCCTCCAATCACCTCCTTCACTCCCCCCCCCCCCCCCCCCCCCCCCCGTGTGACAGCCCTTCACATGACTGACACCAACCACCTCCTTCAATCCTCACCCCCTCCAGTGTGATAGCCCCTCACATGACTGACACCAACCACCTCCTTCAATCCCCCCCCCAGTGTGATAGCCCCTCACATGACTGACACCAATCACCTCCTGCACCCCCCAGTCAGATAGCCCCTCACATGACGCTGACACCAATCACCTCCTTCACTCCTCCTCCAATCACCTCCTTCACATCCCCCCCGTGTGACAGCCCTTCACATGACCGACACCAACCACCTCCTTCAATCCCCACCCCCTCCAGTGTGATAGCTGGACAGTGCCTCACATGACTGACACCAATCACCTCCTGCACCCCCCAGTCAGATAGCCCCTCACATGACTGACACCAATCACCTCCTGCACCCCCCAGTCAGATAGCCCCTCACATGACTGACACCAATCACCTCCTGCACACCCCCCAGTGTGACAGCCCTTCACATAATCTTACCGTCAGGCCTTCGCTATGTTTACTGCCCAGAGTGTAGAGGCTGCCATCATTGGGATCCGGGAGGAAGGCCGGCCTGGAGAAGAGAAAGAAGTCAGACATGACATTGTACACAGGAGGGGGACACACACACGTCAGACACATCACGTCTGCCGATATTATATCTATAGGCCTGGACAGTGCAGACTGAGCTCTTCTATACTGAACATTCATTCTCCAGAAATGTGATCCCCTCATTATATATCACAGTATACACCTCCCCGGAGTCACAGAGTGGAGGAGTGGTGTGATCCCCTCATTATATATCACAGAGTGGAGGAGTGGTGTGACCTCCTCATTATATATCACAGAGTGGAGGAGTGGTGTGATCTCCTCATTATATATCACAGAGTGGAGGAGTGGTGTGATCTCCTCATTATATATCACAGAGTGGAGTGGAGGAGTGGTGTGTGACCTCCTCATTTATATTATATATCACAGAGTGGAGGAGTGGTGTGACCTCCTCATTATATATCACAGAGTGGAGGAGTGGTGTGACCTCCTCATTATATATCACAGAGTGGAGGAGTGGTGTGACCTCCTCATTATATATCACAGAGTGGAGGAGGAGTGGTGTGACCTCCTCTCATTATATATCACAGAGTGGAGGAGTGGTGTGATCCCCTCATTATATATCACAGAGTGGAGGAGTGGTGTGATCCCCTCATTATATATCACAGAGTGGAGGAGTGGTGTGATCTGGGAGTGGTGTGAACAAGCAGAGGCAACACTGAGTATTCGGTGTATACAGAATATCAGGAAGTGGTGTGATTTACTATATATCACAGATGTGTGGGGACCTGAAGCACCGATCTGCCCGACAAGAGAAGAGGAGATGCAGTAAGTTTGAAGTGAATGAATCCTGAATGCATCATCTATACATGATATCCTGCACCACCCTCACCGTGTCTCTGCCCCCCACCTCATCCTGCACCACCCCTCACCGTGTCTCTGCCCCCCACCTCATCCTGCACCACCCCTCACCGTGTCTCTGCCCCCCACCTCATCCTGCACCACCCCTCACTGTGCCTCTGTCCCCCACCTCATCCTACACTACCCCTCACTGTGCCTCTGTCCCCCACCTCATCCTGCACCACCCCTCACTGTGCCTCTGTCCCCCACCTCATCCTACACTACCCCTCACTGTGCCTCTGTCCCCCACCTCATCCTGCACCACCCCTCACTGTGCCTCTGTCCCCCACCTCATCCTGCACCACCCATCTCACTGTGCCTCTGTCCCCCACACCTCATCCTTCACCACCCCCCTCACTGTGCCTCTACACTACCCCTCACTGTGCCTCTGTCCCCCACCTCATCCTGCACCACCCCTCACTGTGCCTCTGTCCCCCACCTCATCCTGCACCACCCCTCACTGTGCCTCTGTCCCCCACCTCATCCTGCACCACCCCTCACTGTGCCTCTGTCCCCCACCTCATCCTGCACCACCCCTCACTGTGCCTCTGTCCCCCACCTCATCCTACACTACCCCTCACTGTGCCTCTGTCCCCCACCTCATCCTACACTACCCCTCACTGTGCCTCTGTCCCCCACCTCATCCTACACTACCCCTCACTGTGCCTCTGTCCCCCACCTCATTCTGCACCACCCCTCACTGTGCCTCTGTCCCCCACCTCATCCTGCACCACCCCTCACTGTGCCTCTGTCCCCCACCTCATCCTACACTACCCCTCACCCTACACTACCCCTCACTGTGCCTCTGTCCCCCACCTCATCCTACACTACCCCTCACTGTGCCTCTGTCCCCCACCTCACCCTGCCTCTTACCCCACCTTACTCTGCACCACCGTTCACCATGCCTCTGTCCCCCACCTCATCCTGCACCACCCCTCACCACCCCTCGCCGTGCCTCTGTCCCCTACCTCATCCTGCACCACCCCTTGCCATGCCTCTGCCCCCCACCTCATCCTGAACCACCCCTCATTGTGTCTCTGCCCCTCGTTCTGCTTCCCACCACACTGCTCTGTACACAAAGGAGATACATGCACTGACTGTTCTCTCACCTTCTTTCAGTGTCCATTTGATGGTTCCAGTCCTCTTGCTGACGGCATGGAGACTTCCATCTAAGGTGGAGACAAAGAGCAGCGTTTCAGGCAGAGACACTGTGCTGGTCCTTCCATCACCCTGGAGGATAAAGACAGAGAGAGACCATATTAATGGGGAGCCAGACAGAGATTTCCAGAACACATGTGGGGGCTGTAGAGCCTGGAGACAGGAAAGGATGGTCAGAACATTACAGCCGGTAACATTACTCTGAAATCCAGACCCCCAATATAAAACACAATATTCTACCCCAAACTACATCAACAACGAGAGAGCTGGAAACAGGGCATTCACCTGCAGAGTACACACACCGGGGAGCCCCCTCCTTTCACCTGGAGAGTACACACCGGGGAGCCCCCTCCTTTCACCTGGAGAGTACACACACCGGGGAGCCCCTCCTTCCAACCTGCAGAGTACACACACCGGGGAGCCCCCTCCTTCCACCTGGAGAGTACACACACGGGGAGCCCCCTCCTTCCACCTGGAGAGTACACACACCGGGGAGCCCCCTCCTTCCACCTGGAGAGTACACACACCGGGGAGCCCCCTCCTTCCACCTGGAGAGTACACACACCGGGGAGCCCCCTCCTTTAACCTGGAGAGTACACACACCGGGGA